AGATTTTAGAACGTAATATTTCGCCTCGTGCTTGAAAAAGTTCTGCCGGAATTTGATCATTACCTGGCACTTTATACCGTTTCCATTTTGCAAAAGCACTTTCAACCTCAAAAGGCCTAGGATCATGTATTAACAGCTCAGCCATATGGATTTCTGTCTGCCTAACATCACTGACCCTATGTTCATTCAATAACTGAGATAAGTAGTTGCTCCACCTATTCAAAATGCTGTGGGAATCTGCAAGTAGATCACCATGCTCATCCTTCACTAAGTTACTGCTAGGCTGGTAACCCCTCTTAAAGTCATTTATTCCTTTATACAGGTCTCTAATGTTCTTGTTCTTACTGTTTATTGCAAGCTCATCAATCTTGTCTTTCAGATATTCCTCCTCTTTGTTCCTGAAATGCCTGCTGGTTTCACATCTTATATTGTTCAGATTTTTTTTTCTGTGGCGCTACAGCCCCAGTTTTGGCCTAGGCCTACCTCCATGAAACTCTCCGTTTCACTACGGTTTACTAGATCTTACACATTTGGTAGGACTCCTTGGACGATTGATCAGCTCGTCGCAAGGCCTCTACATGTAGACAAACACAGAGAAACGCACACAAACATCCATGCCCCGAGTGGGGTTCGAACCCACGATCCCGGCTTCCGAGTGAGCGAAGACAGTGCATGCCTTAGACCACTCGGGTACCGTGACCGGCATATTGTTCAGATTATCCCCATTTAACTCGCTTGGATCCTGTAACCATTGCAATTTGGCCTGCTCCTTTTGATCTAATAATTTTGAGCATCCTTTATCGAACCATAGCTTATGTTTCTTCGGTTCATAATTACCTAGACTCTCCTTGGCAGACATGTTTATATTCTCTCTAATAGTTCCCCAAGCTTTATTAACATCCACCTCAGTTTCCAAGTTTTCCAAAGCGACGAACCTATTTGAGATTTCAACACAGTACTGCTCTTTACCCTCTACTTCATTTAATTTCTTGAGATTGAACCTATCCATATGAACTGTGTGTGTTGTTTTTCTTGCTCACTGCATCTTTCCCTAACCTTTGCCACCACCAGGTAGTGGGCAGTATCACAATCTGCTGCCCTGAATAATTGGACATCAAGTATACTTGGGTGCCGTCTCCTATCTATCAAAATATGGTCTATTTGATTGTGTATCTTTTCATCGGGAGATATCCAAGTAAATTAATGGATGTTACGATGTGGGAACATTGTACTTTTGACAGTAAGATTTCTTGATGTAGCAAAGTTTACAACTCTAACTCCATTATCATTACTAATTTCATGCAAACTTTCAATCCCAATTGTTGGTTTGAAAATGTCTTCCCTCCCTACTTGGCATTGAAATCTCTTAACAATATTTTCATAGGGTACTTCAGGAATTTATCAAATATATGTTCTAGTTCTTCACAGACTCTATCCTTTATGTCATACAGACAAGGAACAACAATCAATATTATTACGCAGGGGGGGTGGACGACTTAACAGGCAAAGGGACAAAACTGAATATATAAAGAAGAAAACTAATATAATAATTTAGCCTTGACCACTGTATTGTTGTGTTGTGATGGACTTAATAAAGAATTGTAATAAAACACAATAGATAACAAATTAACAGTAGTTATCACCCGATAACGCAGGTGGCCATGGTACTGAAGAACGTCCTGTTCCTGTCTGTGGTGTCTGAGCTGACTGGTAATGGGTGATGCTACGTGGGTCCCTTGTCACCACGGCATGGCGCATCTGAAGGTTGTGGATGGATGAGACATCCTCTAGATATGGATGGTAGTTGAGTAAGCAGTCGTGGACAGCCAACAAGGGGTGGTCCTCCAGCTTAACAGCTCCTCACCATAAAAAATTAGCTTCTTACAAAAGATCACAAAAGGAGGACCATCTCTTATAAAATCTCTAGCATGGAATTCTGTCAACACCACACTGCTGAGATCTGGTTGTGAGGAAGCAGGAGGCAGATTAAGGAGTGAGACATTAACAGAATCTTGGAGCACAAGAAAACTTTGTAGAAATTCTGAGTTGACTTATGGCAATTATAAAATGTCAAGACCAGTCTGAAGACAGGGAAATGAAGATGTGCTATATATAACTCCATAAAGGAAAGTTCTTCTTGAAAAGCCAGTAGTTGCTCAGCTAGTCAAGAAAAATCCTGAAGGTCCATAACTTCATTCAGAAGAGCTGAAAACTGTCCCTATCTTGAGTAAGATGAATCCAGTTCCATCCAATTTCTTTGAGATCCATTTTAATATTATTCTTGCATCTCCCATATGGTCTCCTTGTTTCAAGTGTCTATATCCATGACCCATGAAGATGTTCTTTTGGTAGATGAAGAAATGTGAAATGACCAAAGAAAGCTAAAGAGAACGGAGGAACAGACTGAACACAACTGCAGTTGGTAAAGTCATAGGAAGACAGAGGATAATATAAATAGATTTGTCAAATGACAGCATCAGCACAGAAGACGTTATTTAGTTGATGGCTTGGTGTCATGTGAGGACAAAGTACATACTACAACTACTATTATACTGAAATAAAACTTACGGTTTGGTGCTCCAAACTGACGTGTAGTAGTACCAAACAACCCTGTGCCAGAACTACAGGTTGTAAGCTGATAAAATTGTTCCCTGCATCTTGATTCACACATACTGAGATTTGACCCACATGCCCGTTGTGAAAATCCTCCTTGAGAGTGTCTTGTTCCTGTCTGTGGTGTCTGAACTGACTGGTGATGGGTGATGCTTGATGATGATCCAAATAGAGACTGGGTACGGCTACCACTTCCAAATGGTCCAAATCTTGATTGGGTACTCCAATGGCAACCACTTCCAGTATCACCCGATAACGCAGGTGGCCATGGCACTGAAGAACGTCCTGTTCCTGTCTGTGGTGTCTGAGCTGACTGATTCCAACTGCTACCAAATATTCCACCATTGACAGTATGTGTATTGCTGAAGGCATGCACATGTGTACTGGATGTTATGAGATATCCTGTGGACAGAAAACCTCCTATTCCTGGCTCCGTAAGGGTAACTGAACCTGAAGCTACATCTACTGATGCATGACTTGTAGTATTCACGGAAGAAGTCACTGCTGTACTTCCAAAAATGAACGAGCTCTTTGTAGCTTCTGTTGCCATGGGCTTCAGGACGCTGATGACAGTGCTTGTCGATGATTAACTGAAGCCACCATTGCCACTGCTCCTATCTGACACTGACCCATGGCTTGTCTGTTCTTTGGAGGAAGGAGAAGTGACAGATCCATTACACGCACCAAGCTCTGGTGTAGAGGTAGTGACCAGGTGCGAAGAATCGCCAGCTGACATTTTTGGCAATGAATTATGTACATTCAGAAATGACCTTGATGGAGAATCTGAAGATTGAGACTTGCCAGAAATAAGAAAAATACCAGAGGAAGAAGTGTTAGCAACATTCTGAAAACAGTTTATATTTCCTTCCACGGGAGCCATCATATTTCATGAAGAAGTTAATGTCTGTTCAGAAGAAACAGGAGCACCAGCTGGAGAAGATACTGGTAATGTTAAACGTGGAATTGTTCTGTTTAGCAAAAATGTCACTGGAGCAGATGTTACTGATCCCAAGGGTCCAAAATTTATATCTGCAGCACTGGTAATTGGCACTGCAGGAGAAACATCATTACCCATTGTCAAGGAGACAGTGAGTAGTGCATATGAGCTCCTTTCAGTTGCAGCCTGGGTTGAGGTGTCTGCAACAACAGGCTCTATTTCTGTACTGAATGGAACACTTGTTTCTACATTATTTTTCATTTCTCTTGCGCCACTTGCTCCCGCTGCCGCTGCTGCTGCTGCCCCTGGGTGGGCCATGCCCGGGAAAGATGTGGTCACAGAAGCAGTTGAGGCTTGAGCCTCATTGGCAGATGACAGCGTCTTTAGGAAATCATCTGTAGAAAGACCAAGAATGATACAATTAATAAACACAAATTATGTTACACGCCACACCCTCATCAGCTTTCTTGTATCATTCTATTATAGAGAATGTCCATAAGAGATCTTCACAATTTGAATCTTTTGTTGCTCATAGAAGGTTTAAGGCACTGCTAAGAAATATAACACTTGAAGTGTAAACTCAAAAACTGTCATGAATTCTAATAATTTGAACATGAATATTGTGTGTAGCTTGAGCAATATCCTGCCACACCTTTTGGAGGTTAACATGATCAGTTTTTGCACAGGCTTTTGTGATTAGTATCTTGAACTCTTCTAGTTCTGTTAGCAATGGAAGGACATAGATACTGTGACATGTCCACTCAAAGCCAAAATTGCGGAGCCAGAAGAGACTGTTCTGTAAACAGTTCCCCGCGGTGACACAACAGGAGAGGATCTGTGTTGTGCAATACTTCCCAGCTGTAACTTAACAGGTGACAGGCCACGTAAACACTTCCCTGCAGTGATGAAACAGGTGAGGAACTGCTGGAAGGGGCTTTCCCTCTTGTCGGATTGAAGTATAAAACGCAAAGCCGAGGTCGAGGTGGTCAGTGTATGAGCTGTAGTGTGGAATTTAGTGGGACTTATAAATCAACTTCCAGGAAACGGTAGTGACATATTGTGAGTTGTAAATTGCATGAGATTAAGAGCGTCTGTAAACGGAGGCATTAAGAAATCGAACCATCCAACCAAGGACACGTTATTTGGCGTCATGGAACCCTGTGTACGTGACATGTTCAAATTAACTTTACTATTTTGTAGTATTGCATTTGGAATGATTGCAGTCTACATCGTACCGGTGTGCTTTATAGTGTCTGTTGTAATAGGACTCTGTTTATGCCCACTTTATGTAAGTGAGGCCAACAGTATAAAAGTTCATGGTTCAGGGGTGAAAACCGTCCAGGCTGCTTCAGGCCCCCTTCTTGCTCCAACAGGATTCAACTTCAATAACAATACAAGGTTACTGGAAATTCGAAGATTGTAAATGACATCTGAAAATTTTTGATGAAGGTACATTAGTGCAAATAATATTTGTATTATAAGTTGGTAGCTCTGTTTTGTATTATACGTATGTAACTCGTAGAAGTGTTAGTTAAGGAAGTGCTATGTTGTAGAATTGTTGCAGATGTATGCAATCCAGAAATCAGTAGGGATGTGGCCCAGTGTGCAAGTGAGGAAACAGTGACACATGAGAAACAATATTCAGGCCCATGACGGTTTCTTCTTGTTCAACGGGATCATGTTGCATCAAAGGTTACCAATCTTGTCATCCCTAAAATTTACTAAAATAAATTTAGAAGATTATTGCAAAGACCAGGATCTGGAAGCATGTGCTCTAAAGTTAGACTCTCCTTTTTCAAATATTTGTATACTGACTTTATATAGAGCCCCATCTGGAAACTTCAATCACTTTATAAATAGATTAGAAACCATCCTAAATGTACTGCATAGTTCAAAAGTTGAATTTATAATTTGTGGAGATATAAATATAAACTATCTCATCGACAGTAATAGGAAACTAAATTTAGACTCTTTATTATCATCTTACAATCTCTCCAGTACTGTTAACTTTCCCACAAGAGTTCAAAATAATTCTAGTTCAGCGATAGATAATATATTCATTGATAACTCAAAATTAAGAGACTATACTGTAGGACCCTTTATAAATGGCTTATCCGATCATGATGCTCAACTCATAGAAATAAATAATATTGACTTTCAGCCCAGTAATCAACAATATAAAACAGTAAGGAAAATCAACAAGCATACGATGGCAGATTTTGTCACAAAATTAAGTAATGAATCGTGGGACAATGTATTTGACAGCAATAATATTGATTCTAAATTTAATTGCTTTCTGAACACATACTTGAGGATCTTTTATTCAAGCTTTCCCTTAAAAATAGTCAAAAATGAAAATAAAAACAAATCCACCTGGATAACAATTGGAATAAAAACTTCATGTAAACACAAAAGACAACTATATTTGGCCAGTAGGGACAGTAATGATCCAAGACTAAAAAGTCACTACAAAATGTACTGTAAAATTTTGTCAAAAGTCATTAAAGAAGCCAAACAGAATAACTATAACAGCCAAATTCTAAAATCAAACAATAAAATTAAAACCACCTGGGATATTGTGAAAGTTGAATCAGGAAAGAAATCTGTTAATGAAGACGTACAAAGTTTGAATATTGAAGGGAAGTCCACTAACAATCCACAAGCTATCGCAAGTGCATTTAATGAATATTTCCTTTCATTAGCTGAGAAAACATATTCCAATAATAATAATAATAATAATAATAATCCAATATACTATCTGTCTCGTGCCTTTAACAATTCATTTCCAAATATCAATCTCAAATTCTCAACAAGGAAGGAAATTGAAAACATTATTAAATCCCTTAAGCCCAAAAATTCACATGGATATGATGAAATCTCTACCAAATTACTTAAAGCAAGCTCTGTTTACATCAGTTCACCCTTGAATCATCTATGTAATAAATCTTTATCATCAGGTACTTTTCCTCAACGCTTAAAATACGCTGTAATGAAACCACTTTTTAAAAAAGGAGAGAGAAAATGCATCTCTAATTACAGACCAATATCCATATTGACTTCATTCTCAAAAGTCTTTGAAAAAGTTATGTATAATAGACTACTTGAACACTTAAATTCTAACAACATATTAGTCAAAGAGCAATTTGGATTTAGGAAAGACCTAACAACAGAAAAAGCAACCTATGAACTAACTAACGATATTTTAAGTGCTCTCAATGACAGATTAATTGTGGGAGGGATTTTCTGTGATCTAGCAAAAGCTTTCGATTGTGTTAATCATGATATCTTACTATCGAAATTAAATTTCTATGGAATAACTGGCAAAGCTAATGAATGGATCAAATCATACCTCAAAAACAGGTATCAAAGAGTTGAAATAAATAATAAAAACTCCAGTCATAATGCATTTTCAAACTGGGGAATTATAAAGCACGGTGTTCCACAAGGATCAATTTTAGGTCCCTTACTTTTTCTTCTCTACATAAATGATCTATCTAAAACCATCAACAATAAATCTAAACCAATTCTATATGCAGATGACACTAGTATAATATTTAAGAACTCTAAATTTGAAAACTTTAAAAATGACATAAATATTGTATTTGAAGCCTTAAACAGATGGTTCGAAGCCAATTTACTCTCATTAAATTTTGATAAAACCCATTACATATCATTCACAACTAAAAACAACCACCAAATTGATCTGGACATCAGTTATGCCAACAAATTAATCTGTAAAGTACTTGATACAAAATTCCTTGGAATACATGTAGACAGTACACTGTCTTGGAAAATACATATTGAACAAATTATACCTAAATTAAATGCAGCTTGCTATGCGATGAGATCAATTAAGCCTTTTATGTCACAGGAAACATTGAAGATGGTTTACCATGCCTACTTTCATTCTATTATGAACTATGGATTAATATTTTGGGGGAACTCTTCACATAGTGTAATAATTTTTAAAATACAAAAGAATATAATTAGAATCATTACAGGATGTAGAAGTAGAGATTCATGTAGAGAATTATTTAAGAAATTAAAAATTCTACCTCTTCAATCGCAATACATATTATCGCTTCTCTTATTTGTTGTTTACAACAAAGATAAATTCAAATTAAATTCTGATGTCTATAACATGAATACTAGACAAAAATATAACTTCCACCTACCCTCATCAACTTTATCAGTATATCAAAAAGGAGTCTACTTTACTGGCATAAAAGTGTTCAACAATCTGCCACAAAGTATTAAAAACTTGGGCAATGATACTAAAAAGTTTAAATCAGAGTTAAAGAATTATCTACATGCTCATTCCTTCTACTCTTTAGATGAATACTTCAATGTAAATAGAGAATGATGTAAAATTAAGTTATATTAATTTTTAAGCTAAAATTGCCTGTACTTATGTATGTAACCTTTTGACTTGTTCTGTATCCAAAGGTACTAACCTGCTTAGGATTTATAGAATGTAAATAAATTCAATTCAAGTCAGACAAGTGACCCGAGCCTTGTTACGATCAAGATTGACCCACGTAAGGCATCAGATACAAGGTAGATCACATGAAATACTTTCTCAGCACTGTGATCTTGCACCTTAGCTTGCTTATCATACTTTCATGTGACATGATCTACAGAAAACTTATCTTGAATGCTGTGTGTACAATTTTTACCTCATTTAAGTAAGTACCATCTACATAAACACATGTGCATGGGTACAAATATGAGCTTGTAGTATGGTAGGTTTGCAGATTACTTTAAGGGATATTGTTCCTTTTCGGAAATTGAAGGACATGCAAAGAAACTGTTGTCGGTAGGCTCTTGACTAAATTGCACTAGATACCTTCTGCCTTATCTATTATGCAGACTTTTGCTGAATGCCCAAAAGTCTGGAATTAGGTTATTTTGGTATGTGCAATTGGAAGGTTACATAGTTCTTAACATTTGTCATAGAGTAGTAGGAAGTTAACTGAAAGAAAACATTATAACTAATAATACAAATTCAGCCATCAATGCAACAATTTTATTGATTTGAGCACACTACATGTTTTGACTTTTAAAGGGTAATCTTCAGGTGTTTCAGTTATACCTTATTAATTGAATTAATGGTTGAATTATAATGCTATCAGTAGATTTCAACTTAGAACCTCTGAGGAATGGATTGATTGTGATGTCTGGCTGATGCTGAGCTATCTGAAGGAACTAAAATAAATTAGAAGAAACATCAGGTCATGATAGGTAGTTACAGGACACAATCTAGGGACTTTTCAAATGCAGACCAGGTTGCTTGGTGTTTGTTACTTTATCCAAACTTATCTTTCCACCGCTTATATTGATTTCAGGTTTCTGAGAAAGTCTCAGATCCTGAGTGACGCTTCTTCGAATGAGCAGCATTCATCAAAATCTGCCTTGGATGTGCTGAAGGAGATCTCTCATAGGCGCGTTCATGTTCAGGTAACCAGGCAATTCTTATAATATATTTCTACTTACACACAAATGTGGTAGATTTCTTAATGTTTAAAATATACAGTGGAGTTGCATCATGCACACATTTAATTCTGTATGTAGTAATACAGATTCTGTCATGAACGCAACAATTTATTTGGTTGGAGATCTTTGTCTTTCCTTCTTCTACACTACGTGTTTCGGCCGTAATCAGCCATCATCAGGTGTATTTTTTCTCACACGTAGCTGTCACACTGCACGCAGTCCAAAATTTAAAATTTAAAACATTAGCCTGTCAGTTTTGTTTAAAATCTTGCCAACACATGTTCGACAATTTGATTTGGAATTATTGTTTAAAATTTCTAAAATTTAAAGTTCAAAATTTCAAAATTTGAAGTTTTAAGTATTTTAAATGCCAGGGGCACCTGGTCTTGTCATACTTGTGCTGCAGTTGTCACTTCCAGTTTATGGCACCGTTTCTGTAAGATGAGCAGCAACACAGACACACACACACACACACACAGGGTCTGCACATAATAATACAGAAATGGTGCTGTAAACTGGAAGTGACAGCTGCAGCACAGGTATGACAAGAGCAGGTGTCTCTGGCATTTAAAATATTTAAAACTTCAAATTTTGAAATTTTAAATTTTAAACACAAATTCAAAATCAAATTGACGAACGTGTGTTGGCGAGATTTTGAACAAAACTGACAGGCTGATGTTTTAAATTTTAAATTCTGGACTGTGTGCAGTGTGACAGCTACGTGTGAGAAGAAATACACCTGATGATGGCTGATTACGGCCTAAACGTATAGTGTAGAAGAAGGAAAGACAAAGATCTACAACCAAATAAATTCATTCACGGCAGAATTTGTATTACTACATACAGAAGTATACAGTGCAAGAGGATGCTTAAATATAATATATGCACACATTTAACATAAGTGAATTCAAGCATGCATGCTCACAAGAAAAACATAAACCGTGGGAGTGATTCATCTAAGGGTCCCTCTCCATGACCCAAGTCTGTTCTTGTGTCCTGGTTCCACATCAAGCCGTAACTACCCTTATGTATACTGTTTTCCTTTTTCATTCTTTCATTCTCCCATCACGTTTTTATGTAAGTGAAAATTACTGTACCTCTTACTTGTATATATAGTCTCCGTTATATACATGCATATTACAGGGTGTATACAATAGTATTGTAACGTGTTTACGTTACTGAAGACGCCGTAGAGATGGTTAAATGGGTTTATTTGACAATCTCTCAATAACGGCTACAGTTAATTATCACAATATCACGGGTTTCCACACTTTACAAACCCTACACCAAAGTCTCTTAACACGATCTTCACTCGGCGGTAGCTCGAGGACTGACTCCTAGGTAGCTCCAGGACTCGCTGACTGTCACAATGCAACTGACTGTGAATAGCCTTCGCTGCTCCTGATGTAGCCTCGATCGGACAATACAGAATCCAGCCACATAATATGCACCCTTGTTGCCTGGCGCTGTGTTGCTATGTAACGCTGTCCGGAAGTAACCGCCGTTACTACTTGGTGACGTCACCGCTGTTGACTTGCATTGCCTAGCGACCAGGATGCTAGGACTCGGCTAACATCGGCTCGCTTCGGCTTC